TTTGAGCAGAGCAGGACTGTGGTGGAAGGAGGTGGAGGGCAGGAAAACACCGGAGGAGGAGAGAGGAAACGCTTCCCAGTCAGAGTCGTGCCTCTGTCATGCCGGTTCGGCCGGGAAACGGGGTACGGGTCTGCTCTCCTGGTGCTGGAGCCCGCGGGCAGGGGACACCATGCCCGCAGGGGACAAGTGCCTTCTGTGAGCCGAGCAGCACACAGCTCCCAGGGGCTGCAGGTGAGGCAGTACCTGCTCCGGCCAGCCCTGCTCAGAGGCGCTCCCCCCGGGGCCCAGGTCGGGGGGTTTGAGCGGGTTTCCGAAAGCAGGACAGTCGTGTGCATTTTAAAAGTGTCCTCAGCATCTCATCTAAACACTGAATTAGCCTTGACTGAAAAGGGATTTGGGAGGACAACCAGCCACGTCTACCTCTGTGTCTGCTGTCAGTTCATACATGTGCGTGCACACGCATACACACACGCACATGGACACACACCACACATGCATGCACACGTGTATCCCAAGGCATGCACACTGCACACCACACATGCACGCATATGCTCACACATGCATATCTCATGTGTGCACATGCATACTACACACACGCACACAGACACACACCACACATGCATGCACATGTGTATCCCACAGGCATGCACACTGCACACCACACACGCACGCACATGCATATCTCATGTGCACACTCGTACTGCACACGTGCACACACACACGCACATGCACACACCACACATGCATGCACACACATATCCTACAGGCATGCACACTGCACACCACACATACACACACATGCTCGCACATGCATATCTCGTGTGCACACTCGTACTGCACACATGCACACACGCGTGCACGTGCACACACCACACATGCGTGCACACACGTATCCCATAGGCCTGCACACCACACACGCATGCACATGCTCGCACATGCATATCACATGTGTGCACACTCATACTGCACACATGCATACGCATCTGTGCACACACACATGCACGTTTGGCTCTAGGAAAGCTTCTCTCCATCCCACACCCCCGTCTCCCGGGGTCCTTGGGGCCAGATGCACGCCCTCCCCTGCCAGACCTGGCCGACATGCCCAATCCAAGCCTGTGTTTCTCTCTGTTCTCCCTGCTTCCACAGTGTTTGCTGCTGCTTTCTGTAATCCCACGATTTCGGGGAAGCGGGACACTACAATCCAATCTGAAAGCGGCTCCTTCGCAGGGATCAGAGGGCCGTGCAGGAGTTGCTATCTCCTGACCTCTCGAATGGTCCAGGCCCCCCCTTGGAGAGACGGCCAGGGCTCCGCCCCAAGGACTCAGTCCCACAGCCCAGGACGCACCCTCCGACTTGTCTTCCCCCAGGGTCCGAGCCTCACCACCACTGGTTGCCTCTGCTAACATCACGCGTTTTTATGCCGACAGGTCTTTCCCCTTTCTTCATGACAGCACAGACTACTTTTCAAGGCGCTGATAAAGGACACGTCTTGGCCCCGATTTGCAACGTGGTGTCCAGAGCTGTGTTACAGCACAGGACCGTCTTCTAGGGCTACCATAACCCATGACCCCAGGCTGGGGCTTCATCAACAGAACGTTCATTGTTCCAGAGGCTGGAAATCCAAGATCTAGGTGTCCACGGGTTTGGTTTCTCCCAAGGTCTCTCCTCGGCTGCATCCCTGATATCACTCCCTATTCTTATAAGGACACCAGTCCAACTGGGTTGGGATCACCCTACGGCCCCATGGAACCTTAATTACCTCTTTAAAGATACCTCCTACCTTTAAATCAGTCACACTGAGGATTGGGGCTCTGGCATATGGATTTGGGGTCGGGGACACAATTCAGTCCACAGCACACACAGATCCCGACCTCAGAAAATCCCAAGTCTAACCTAGAGAGCTAAAACAAGCATCCAGCTCATCAAGGGAGGGCGTGGGTGGCAGAAACCAACATCAAAGCATGCCCGTAAATGCTTGCTAAGTGATTATAGGAGCACTAACCAGGTGTCTGAAATAAAAATGTCAAAACTAAACTTACCACTGTAGGCTGTTCCTGTTGCTATTTCTACAGATGGTCTCCCCTTTGTATCAGTCAGGATGAAGTAGGACACGTGAAAGTAACAAGCAGCCCCTAGTTCTCCAGCATTAATCTTACTTCTTAAAAAAAAAAAAAAAAAAAAAGATTTATTTATTTATTTTTATTTGTGTGTTAATTTTTTTTTCAGTTATTTATTTATTTGTTTATTTGAGAGAGAGAGCACACGCCGGGGGGGAGCAGAGGACAAGAATGTCCAATAGACTCCCTGCTGAGCGCTGAGCCCCACGACCCTGAGATCAGGGCTTGAGCCGAAACCGAGAGTCCTATTCTTATTTCTTGCTCAGACTCTATACCTGGGGCTGGTCCACAGAGGGGCCCCTATTCACAGTGACTCAGAGCCTCAGGCTGTTGGAGCAGCTACCATCTGGAATATTCCTGGTCCCTCTGCCTCAGGAAAAGTCCCTACAGGAACATGGGTAACTGCTCTCGTCCAGGAGTGACCCACATGTGTCACAACACTGACCAGAATTAGTCACACAGCTCCCACCAACCACATAAGCTCTGTGCGGGAAACACAGTTTTATGATGCATCCTAAGGTGGCCAGAAGCCAGAAGGCAGGGGGTCTGTAGCTTTGTCCACATGGGTCAGCCTCGTGGGCACAGTGCAGGGCAGAGTGGATCCAGAGGGACCCACAGAAGACACTCAGCAGGTGACCTACACCCCGGCACCTCTCCAGCCAAGCCCACTGGCCTGTGCCATCTCCCTGGCCACAGTTCAAATAGGGATGCTCAACTTGGTCCAAGCCACTGAACCCCAATGCTTCCTCCACCCATTTGGTATCTCCGTGACCATAAATCCTCTGTTCCTGCAGTTTCTGGTGGCCGGTGAGACACAAAGCATGTCCACCCAGTCTGAATCTTGACATGATTCAGTTTAGGGATAGTGTTCGGTGGAGGAGTGTGTGTGTGTGTGTGCATGTGAGTGTGTGTACCTGCAGTGACCGTTAGAAAGCTAATCACAATTAACCCACGAGGGAGTTTGCTGACTTAATGAAGCCATTAGCCAAAGACCATTCTGAGAGAGAAAATGTAAAGACTGAGCTCTGAGCACATTACCTGTAATGAACCTGAAAATGGACTTGGGGAATTTCTGTGGTATTCTTAGCATCTGTAATGGCTGGTGTGCGGGCTGCCAGATTGCCACCCCAGCACGGGAATCCTGTGGACCCAGGAGCAGAGCCGGCAGAGGGTTACTTAATGCTGGCTGGTGGGCACCAGCATCAGAGAGACACTGGGACTCTACTCATAACTGGTGACTCATCTGTGCTCTTGTTTAATGCAAAAGGTCATTTCTGTGTCCATTGCTTCCCTGGAGAAAGAAGTGAGAAAATCTCTTTCTTTACAACTCCTGCTTCAAAGGGGAGCGGTGTTTCTGGAGAAACAGACTTTGGGAGGAATTGGCCCAAAGGTAAAAGGTGCTGAAAGATGTCCCAAAGCCACAGACCTTTTTTTTTTCCATTCTCATTTGTCCCTAAAAGGAAGGATGACAAAAGTCCCTCCAGACTCAAAAGAGACAGTACTTTCTTTATCACTTTGAACATCACTACATGTGTGGGAGATGTGACGCTAATCATTTTGCACGAAGTTGGAGCGAACGGGATGAGCTGAAGGCCCCAGAGCTGCGATGGAAAGGGCTCCCATGGGCAGCGGAGGAAGAGCCTTCGGTTGGCATAAAAGTCTGCACAAAAGACGTCGCCCCAGCCATCTGGTGTCCACCACCAAGGTCCAGTGATCCTGGGCATCAGGGAATAAAAGTGACTGACTCACTGATCTTGTTTGCCGCATGGGAATCTCCTCACTCCCTCTTCCCACAGTGACCTCTTTCCTGGGTGAATTGTGTGAGTCACAGGGCACCATCCTCCCCTGCACAAGGGATGAGGATTTAGCCCCCATGAAACCAAACAGTCTGCCCCCCCGGCCCGAGAACGTGGATCCTCAGCAGGGGGCCTTGGGGAGAGAGATGGCTGAAGCTGTTCGCTCCGCTCCACTCTGGCAACGCTGCCCCTTCCTCCCGGTTTTTAGTACCCTGGAAGCGGGTCAGGGGCCTGCCTTTCCAGGGCCTGCCACAGCTTTTCCTTTGACCCTGGGAGTGGCCCAGGACCCGGCTGATAAGAACCTGTGTTAGTTTCCAGTCGCTTTACAAGATTAATACCAACTTAACAGATTACAGCTCTGGGCATCGGAAGTTGGAAATGAGTCTTATGGAACTAAAATCAAGGTGTTAGCAGGGCTGGGTTCCCTCTGGAGGCCATGGGGGGGATCTGTCGTTTTCCTGCTCCTAAGCCACCCCCGCATATCTCCTAGGTCATGATCATATCCCTCTAACCCCTGCCTCGGTCCCCTCCCTCGAGCCCTCTTCCTCCAACCCCCGTGATCACCTCCTATAAAGGACTCTCACGTTCCGCTGGGTCTGCCCCAGATAATCCGGGATAATCTGCCCATCTCAAGATCGGTCACTTAATCACAACTGCAAAGGCCCTTAGACCATGTAACAGAACAGACTCACCAGTTGCAGAGATTAGAGCTCGGGTGTCGGGGTGGGGAGGTGGGTTACTCCACCGACCACAGCACCTTCCTGCTCAGACTAGCTGGAGTTCATTTCTGTTGCCTACAACCCAAACCCAACCGATGCATCACTTCCACTTGGTCTCTGCAAAAGAAAAAAAAATATCTCAACCGTTGCAGTTGGTAACTAAGAAGATGATCCTAAATAAACTAAATTGTTAAATATTCTTGGAAAATTATCCCAAAGAATGGCGTTTTGGCCCAAGTTCTAAGGGCAGGGCTACGGCATCTTGTTCTCAATGAGGACCACCTGGCAAACACTTCGGAAGGTTCTCCCTACCATTCAAGAGCACTGACTAGCCCCCTTGACCCAGGTACGTCTGCTTCTTCTGACAGGACACTGAAATTCTGAACACCGCCATTCTCACGGGAAAGACGGTAGCCCTGCCCATCAAGGTGGTCTCTGTGGAGGAGAACAGCGCTGTGATGGATATCTCGGAGTCGGTGGAGTGCAAGTCCACAGACGAGGATGTCATCAAGGTAAGCGTCCCCATTAATCATCCGCATTAGACTGACGGGAACTTCCCTCGGGCATCCCATTCGCTAAGAAGGTTCGACCCCTGGAAGTAAGAAATTCAGCTGGTTGGTTTATGTACACCACACTTCCAGTCACTCTAAATTTTCCCATTTTGGTTTTTCCATGTTGGTATCACTCCCAACCTGGTGTTCGTCAAGTATGCCTTGGACTGTGCTTCAAACCCCAAATACGCCCAGTAAGCAAGCGGGTGATGGTGGGGGGGGGCAGTGGTAAGCCAGACGTGCCCTGGGCTAGAAGGACGGCCCGTCCTCGCCCTACTGCTACTCGTGGCTGTGAGTAAATGGGAGCTCTGCACTGCTGTCTCTTCAGAAGAAACTACGCATTTGGATCTTATGTAAAGATCGCTTCCATTCCCGCATGGGCAACCAATTAATTTTTTTCACGAGCAAAAAATACATCTGCAGTGTGAGTCCGGCCTGTGGGGCAGCTGTTGGAACCACTGATAGGGCAGACCATGAACCCTGGGTCCAATCCAGCCCTCCCTCTGTAGTGTAAATAAAGTTTTATTGGAACATGGCCACTCAAACCTATTTCTGTATTGTCTGTGGTGGCTTTTGCATGACCACAGGAGGGTCCCGCCATGGTGACAGATGCCATCTGGCCCGCAAATCTAACACATTTATTATTTCGCCTTTCCAGGGACAAGTTTGCCTAGAAAACCCCTGCTCTAGAGTCCTAAGTTTCTTGAGGGAATGACCCTAATTCTTGGTCTTTCCCACCAACATTTGCCGCGATAATGTACCCACAATGCTTGCCAAGGAGTAAGACAGCACGAGGGCTGGTCCAAGCCAGAAATGAACCGTTTGGTCTTTCTCCATATGTTTTGTAATCCTGGAAACATACCCAGAAGAAAACATAAAGAACCAAGGCAAGCAAGCAGATAATGCTTTTTTTCCCCCTTAAATAGGGTCTGACACATAGCGTCAGAGTCTTTTCTCTGGTGTTACAAGCAGCATGTGTAAGTCGGAGAGAACCGCACAAACCACTGAGTGCGGGGGTGGGGCGGAAAGATCCTTCCCTGCAGAGGACAGCCCCCGCTCGGCCACCGCTGTCCACCGCTCTCGGAGCCTCGGGCAGAGGGTAGCGTGCAAGCCCTCTAGGTTATGGCAAAGTCCCGGCGGCGACAAGGGGTCCCAGCAGCACCAGGATAGTCTCACGGTTTTCTGACCACTGCGGGCAGCGTCTCGAGGAAGAGATGCTTTTTCCTCATTCCCCCAAGAGTGATTTCTGGGCTGATGGCGGCCCCCAAACCCACGGCACCTTACAGAAGACCTGAGAGGCCTGTGGGAGGAGGGGGGAGGGGATGAAATTCTGAGCCACACTGTCCAAGAGAAGCAACGTGGGCCACGCATGTGGTTTAAATGTCTCCAACCGTCACATTCGGAAAAGGAAGAACGGGTGAAGCTAATTGCTTTAAATGCATGTATTTAACCCATTATATGAAAAACATGATCATGTCAACATGTGATGAGTATAAAAATGATGAATTTATTGGCACCCATTCTTCTGAATCCAGTGTGTATGTACACGTAGGGCCTCTGTCCAATCCGACTCCACTTCAGGGTTCCCCAGGCCCCGGGGTGAACGGCTCCTCCATTGGACGCAAAGATCTCACCTCGGGGGCAGAATTTCACGATGTCGGCACTATGGATATTTTGTGCCAGGTAATTCCTGGTTAGGGGGCTGTCCTGTGGGCTAAAGAACCACTGCTCTGAGGAAAACATGCTCTGCTTCTGGCTGGACAGTCACCCCGCTTACCCCACTTTCTTGGCGAGGCCAAGGTGGGGAGCAGGCCCTTGGTTGGATCTGGAGCCTGCCCTGCCCCAGCCATGGTCCCACACCCCATCCTCGGCAACCATCGGTCTTTATGACCGGTTTGCAATTCCCCTAAGAGCCAGGACCCCTGGTAAGGAAGTGTGACCCTTTGAAAGGACACATTCACACTGATGACTTTTCTAGGTGGGTTAAAAAGTCCATCTGCGACCCTACAGAACCCCCAGAAAGAAGTTTCGCTGCCGTTGTTGACATAACTACCTTTAGCTGGTCTTAAATGAGTTGGTCATGGAGCCTTTTCTTACTATTTTAGAGAGTAGGAAAAGAGAAGCTAGTATTACTGGTAGTTCCAGGAATATACTAGAATCTCCAGGAATAGAATCAGTATCTTTAGGGAAACAAATGTACCCAAACTAAAAATTGCCTCCTGAAATGACTTTGGAGTTGGTGCCCCAGGCTGTTGACGAAGCAACGGGTCGTCCCAGGTCAGCAGAAGCCGAGTGGGGATGTCGGCCAGGCTTGGCAGACTCAGAGTCCATCCCCAGGACACAGACTCAGCCCGTGGTTCGGGGTCTGGTGAGGCCAGCAATACTCGCAGAGCTGGGGGGGCACCGCTCGGGGTGCCATTGGGGGGGGCGGGGAGGGAACGTGTAGTAAGCACCTGCCCTGCAGCAGGTGTGTGAGGGTCTGGATTTGGACAGACCTGAGCTCTCTACAGGATGTGGAAGGCTCTGACATCCACCCTGAGTGCAAGCTGACAAACCAACCTGCCCCAGTTTGCTGGCGGAAGACGAGACCCCTGGTCGGAGACAGAGGGTGGCCAGTGTTTCTGCGTCTCCTGACCCGGATGCCTGAGCTCTTCTCCCCACGGGGTCGTGCCAGGGGCCACACCAGGGACCCCTGCACACGCACGCTCGGTTATGAGAGAAGAGCCCTGGGCTTCGGGAGCCTGAGTCCTTAATAACAGGCTGCAGACCTGACCAGGCCGGCACCTTGATCTGGGACGTCCGGTTCCCAGAGCCATGGCAGCCATGCACGTCCGAGGCACCCGGTCAGAGCGGCCGATGGACTGAGTCGAAAGCCCGCCTGTCCTTCTCCACAGAGAGAGACGGCACCTCTGTCATGCTTGGCCACACGCGTGCCTGGCCCGCGCTCTTCAGGGGGACCCTATCTCTGCCTTCCGAGGCTGCTCGCTAGATGGGCGTCCTTGAAAAGACCATTCAGACAAAGGCAGTCGAGACTTTGTAGAATGTGCAGGAGAACCACGGGGAGTTTCTTCCAAAGCTTTCCCGGCTTCACCGTTCCGAGCTCTGCATCTTGGGCAATTTGTACATCCCCTGCCCTGCCCAGTCTCCTTCGGAAAGGGGGACGGTCACAGTCCCTGGTTCAGAAGGCCATTGTGAGGATTATCAAGTGTCATCAATCAAGTAAGGGACTTGACCTAGTAGCCAACACATGGAAAGGACTTAACTCTGACCCTGGTTAGCTCAGGGGACGCTTCGACAGCCCTATGACGTAAGTCGGGACCGCAGGCCGAGCGCCTACAGTCATAATCTGTGTGCTATGCATGCTGTTGCTAAAATAATTAGAATTGCAACTTATTTTGTGTGTACCATTCAGTGATATTTTAGCAAACTTCCTGGGCTGGATAACCATCACTATGACCCAATTTTAGAATTTTTTTGTCACCCCATTTGCCATTAATCCCCATCCCCCGCCTCACCCTGGGCCCCCACTAACCTACCTTCTGTCTCTATAGATTTGCCTTTTTTGGACATTTCATAGAAATGGAGTCATACAATATGTAGTCTCTTATTAAAACAGCTCGGCGATCATTTCTAACACATCTCTCTTGACACATCGATGAGTATCCATATCTAGAAAAATAATTTTTTAAAAATGGGATCACAAGACACAAACGTCTTTTACCCCGATTTTTTTTAGCTGGCAAATCTACACACACACACACACACACACACACACACACACACCCTGGTGGCTCACCTGTCAGCCCCCAGGGATCAGTGTTGACCTGCCCGCCCTCCTTCTATGGCTTTCTCCACGCGGACAGGATCACGCACACGGATCAAACACACAGAGAAGCGTGGTTTGACCCAGTGTGTCTTGCAGAGATGGGCCACAGCACTGAAACAGCTCTGCCTGTCCCCTCCTCTCGCCTGCGACACCCCCGACGTGTCCCTGACTGGGTGCCGAGGGGTCTGCAGTGCGCTCGGCGCTCCGCGTTTGGGTTTGCAGGCGTCGCATGTGAGTGGGGGGCTGGGAGCTCCTTGAGCGTCTGTGGGGATGTCCCTTCAGCAGGAGGAAGAGTGCCATCCCAGGGACAAAGGCCTCGGGAACAGTAACAGGGAGGGGATGCGTGACGTGGACAAACAGCCCCAGGACCCCCACAACCCCCACGGAGTGTTTGCTGTCCCCATCTGTCCCCACGCCAGCCAGCGTCTTTGGAAGAAAGAGGCATCCGCAGCCGACGACGGGGCGTGGGGTCGGGGTCCTCTGCAGAGCTCCCTGGCTTGCGGTTCGCGAGGTCACGGTATCTTCACAGCATACGTCGAATCACATGCTGGCTCATTCCGGGAGGTGTACCTGGGCGGTTCTCTAGGCACCATTCTGGTATCGGGGCCTCAGCGATAAGTAAAACACAAGGAATCGGGCATCACAGTGATGGAGAGCGGCAGACGGAGCCGAGCCGAGCGCGTGAGGATGACAGGTGGTGGTGAAGGTCGGGGCGGCGAGGGGGGCAGTGCTGGGACGGGCCTGGGGCAGGGCGCGTCTGGATGGGGCGGTCTCCGAACAGGACGCAGTGGGCCCGTTTGCAGGGAAGTGACAGCTGTCGGTGCCCACCGTAACTGCACCCCTGTTTGCACCATGCTCCCCGTGCACCCCCTCATGCTAAGGGGCAGATGCTGGGGCACCCCCTCAACCCTCCTGAGGCCCCAGGTGCCAAGGCACCGCCCGCAGCACGCTGGGGGTGACGCGACTTCGAGCATTGTGATGGGATTTCTGACGCAGCCCCCCTGACCTCCAGGGCACGGCCCTGCCTAAGGCCCCCGGTGCTGAGCTAACAGGAGGCCGTATGGCGGCCAGGTGCCCAGGTCTCCCGGGGACCGCGGTGCCTGTGTTCATTCCAGGACGGGCAGTGCCACCTGGC